AATATATGTCTGTGAATCCTTTTGAGTCAGGTACCATGACGACAGGATAGTAAAGGTATTGAAAAATTCACACATATGCGCACATGTGCACACACACAATTTTAGAATTGTTAAAATTCTAAAATTTTAACAACAATGTAAAATAATATAAAGAGATTACTAAAAAAATTGAAACATAATTGCCAAGTCACACAGTAATTGCACTGCTTGCTGGCATGTATGGTCAAAGGAACTAGTCATTGTATCAAAAACATGCTCACATTCCCCTATTTGTTGCAGACTTCTCACAATAGCTAAGATAAGGGGGCATATCAATCAAGGTGCTCAAAACAGAAAACTATTCATCCATATGAAAGAATAAAGTGCTGCAATCTCCTGCAAGGTGAAGGAAATTTGACGTCATTGTGTAAAGTAAAATAAACTAGATACATAAAGACCACAGATTCTCATTTGTGGACACTAAAACAGTGACATCAAAAAAATAAATAAATAAAAATAAAAAAAAAATAAAAAAAAAACAAGAAGTGGAATACCAGTCATTAAAGACTGGGAAAGCAAGGTAGAAAGGGAATAAAAACAAGTTATATAAGGGACAATAAGGTGACAATTAATTAGAAGAATCAGTTCTGGCTTTGTACATTACTGTTAGATAACTACTGCATACAAGGTATTTGTAAAAACAACTAGAAAAAATACAAAAGATTCTTTTTTTTTTTTTTTTTTTTGGTGGAACCAGGGATTGAACTCTCCCTGACCCCCAAAGATTCTAATGCATAAAAAGTGAATTATGACTTGGGGACATAGAAGTGATTATTCCTTGGATGTGAATGTTACATATGGCTTACATGAATCAACTTATCATACTGCACCCTGTAAAATCTGTAAATTTTATGCTTCAATAATAAAAATCAGAAAAAGAACAATTAAGACTAAATTCTCTCAAAATATCTTTAAAGTCAATAAACACTGGCCATTGCTGACCTTGATGACATAGTAAGAAATAAGCTATATTTTTAATTATTATACCCCAAATAGTTGCAAAATGTGTGCATAAACTTTTTTTGTGGTACAGGGATCAAACTCAGTGGGCTGGGGAGATGGCTCAGTAGAATAATAGCTTGCCTGGCAAGTGCAAGGGCCTGAGTTCAATCTCCGGTTCTGCAAAAACAATAACAAAAACAACAACAACAACAAAAAACAGATCGAACTCAGGCCCTTGCACTTGCCAGGCAAGCACTTATTCCACTGAACTATCTCCCTGGCCCTACTGTGTGCAAAAACGTTTGAACAAATAATTTAAAATTAGAAGGATATTTCCCCTGGAGATCCAGAAAAAGAAATTTGGGATTATTCTATACAGATCGTAGACAAGCAAATGACAAAGTGATGGACAAATATTTAGCATGATAATTACATATATATGTAAAATTATATATATATATATA